AGTGCAAAACTAGACTTTCAAGGAGCAAAGGAATTGTGGTGCCACTGTATATCTTTACAATCCTCATGTTGTCGTTTGAAATACACCTTTCATCGGCCACAAGTATCATATTTTTCTTCACTAGCTGGGACGCTGTTAAGAACAGCCCGGCCACCATTTGGGTCGTAAAGGCTAAGGAGTCGGTAGGTGGTGCAGCCAGAGCTCAGGTTTGGCAGTATGGATGGCGACATAGCATTCTTGAGAGTTATTTTTGGCTGAGGACAGCAAAAGGCGAGCTTGAATCTGCGCATGCAGCTCGACTAACTGGCTTCCTAGACGTTCAGCTGGCCAATTTCCTTTGTGGGTGGTATGCAGTTTTGCGAGTTTCTCGGGGTGTTCATCTTTTAGCAGAACTTGCTGACACTGCTCGAGGTGACTGTATCTGAAGTTCTGCCCAATTAGTGATTGACCCAGTGGTGGAAAATCAATTGCATTGTGGTTACAGCATTAATTTGGGGGATAATGTTTACTTCGTACCATTTCGTGAAATGGTCTATCATGACCACTATGATGTTATTATTTCTAGATTCTACCAGAATAGGTACAAGTAAATCTACCGGGGCCAAGTCATTCGGAAGGCCAGTTATGATAGGTTCTACAGGTGCTCCGTTGTATTTTTAGGGGACTCAGTACACCTCACGGGTTCACAAAGGTCAACGGCATCTGTCAGTCTCTAGGTCTTACTACACTGGACCTCACGCTGTCCCTGGAAGACTTTCAGAAACATTTTGTAATAACCAACGCGAAAATCCAGAACACAGATTGGCGACTCGAAAATCCTTGATTCTTGCTCCAATACGTAACCAACAATAAGGTTATTACACACAAGGTCTAGGAATAAATGTTATAACAATTAATCACGATAATACTTCTGATAGTTTTTATCTTCCACTGAACAGCGAACGATGAGACGATGACTGCTGGCTTGATGACTCCCGCGAAAAATATGGAGAAGTTGGGTTTGAGCAAGCAACCATGAATTGATCGTTCAACCTCCAGCTACATTGACGGCTTCCTTTCCGTGATGAGGCTATCCATGACGCCTTTTGGCCTCTTCTATCATTTCTTCTGGGTTCGTATAGTCTAACTGTTTGTGAATTGACAACATTACCACGCGTAGTACTGTCTGTGAGGCCACGACCTGGCGAGTGTATATGGGCCCATACCGGTAGCAAAAGATGTCGACAACTCTCAGATTGTCCCACATGGACCCCAGATACCGAGTTTCCGGTCCAAGCTTACTTGTTTCATGGGCTTTAGCTGTAAGCTTAAACTTTGAACACGTTCATAGATCACTGCAATTTTAGAGTCTGGGAAACGAAGTGGGGCCAGCTATACGAATTATGTGACCTCTATCGGAGCACCAGAAGTCGTGGTTCAGTGCACGCTGGGCAGCCACCGTGATACCTGGGAGATTTTCTTGACAGAGCATCTGCATTTCCAAGATTGTTTCCAGGTCTGTACTTGTATTGGAGGTCAAACTCTTGCAGGTATTCATGCTATCTGGCAATATGAACCCTAGCCCTTCTGAAGTCAAGTTACCAGCTAAGGAGTGAGTCAGTCACGTCTCGTAAACCGTTAATACCCAGCTCTTGCTACGCTCGGGCTCGCGCTGTTCCTTGAAGTTTCTCAGAAACGCTTAGTAATAACGGACGCAAAAACCAAAACACTGATTTGCCACTCGAGAATTCTTTATTGTAACACCAACATATAAAAAATGTTTCCACTAAGGTCTGTGAACAAATATTACAATAATAAATCACAATATTACTTCTGACGGTTTACTGCTGACTTCTTTCTGAACAGCGACCGATGAGACGATGACTGTCGTATTGATGCCTCCGCGAAAATTGGGGAAGTTGGGTTTGAGCAAGCAACCATGAACTGATCGTTCAATCTTGAAGTCCATTGACACTCCTCGGCCCAATAAGGGATCCATCCCTTTTTTCCACCACGACCAATACACGTTGACTTGGATGCCATTGCGAGAACCTGGGTCACACGGACAGAGCTGAAATGGAAAACAAACAGAAAAGCCAACACACCACAGGCATACTCACAGCACATTTTCACACATCAATGACGACCTGCGCCTTCCAGTTAAAGGCATCCTATTGCAACAAAATCGCCACTTGCTAGAATGTCTCTTGCAGAATGCGACGTGACCATAGCACCAACTCATGATACTCCACGCATATCCTCTTATCTACTCACTACCAATTACCACTGAAATTGCTTGTCACTCATTCTGCCTCAGTTCTAGTAACGGTGATGTATGCAAGCCTCAGTCGTTTACACTCTTGCTCCCCGGCGTGTGGGACCGCAGCTAACAATTATCTCCATAGGCATTTCATTCTCAGCAATAGCCTCCCCGGCGTAAACGACCCATCTGCTGTCCTTAACATCAATCAATTCATTCACGGATGTAGAAGACTCGAAACAAATTCAGAAGTAATCACGACGAAAATTTTAACAAAATTAAGTAATAACAACAAGGTACGAAAACAACGAGTAAACACAATGAATCCAAAACACCACCAATTGATATGACACACCACACGTATATACAAACAGTACAAATAACCTCGCGGATCATGTCTTGATGGAATTCCTTTGAAGAATCGCAGGACTTGCACCAGTACGCCTACAACCCTTCACAGGTTGACGATTGTAAGTTGTGGGATGTCCGGACACAAACAAGATTAACCAACAATTACAATAATTGGAACTCACACAGTTATTTAACACAAACATATGTACAATCAATACCTCAAATGTTGTGGATTCTGACACGACAAACTACCCTTGAAGGACTGTAGGACTGACAGCAGTACGCCTACATTCCTTCTCAGGTTGATGATCCAAGTGGAAGTCGTACGGACACAAACAGAATTACCAACAGCTAGATGACAGATGATATCAATTCAGTATATACAATATGAACATATGTACAAGATCATACACCAAGCACATTGGACTGCTCATTGATGCGCTACCCTCTGAAGAATTGTAGGACTTACAGCAGTACGCCTACAACCCTTCTCAGGTTGACGCTCTAGGTAGGAAAATCGTCGCAGAGTTCATTTGCTGGCTTCCTTCTATCAGCTATATCCTCAAATCTGAACGGAAACACGCTCATATCATTGTATCGTAGAATGTAGATGACTAACAAACACACGACGTATCTGGTCAACCAAGCGTAGGCACAGAGTAATTTACACCAAAGATAATAGCATTCAAATAGTAACTTGAAACTAGAAATGCCTTTATTCATGCAAGTCAATTCAACAATTACTCTCTCGTTTACACTTGGCTTATCCTCACTAAACTGACCAATATCTTTCGTACTTTCAAATGCACCAATACTATCAAAGTCATTGCACAAGATACTTGAGTTGATGGGCGTCTGTTTCATTGTGGATGACAACACCAACGACAACTGATTGATACCAGTTGATGAAGTTAGCGGTGGATCAGAAGCTGTTGTTGCTCGGCTTTCAGAAATTTGTCTACCTGCAAGACCACCACCACTGCTGTCTTTTACCATCAGCTCAGGTTTAGCACTAGCATCTGATGATAGGTGGGCTACATGCTGATCACTCACACTGACGGTCTCACAAGTATGCATGCCTTCCATGGTCATCACAAGGATCCAATCATTTTTTATCCCCCGCGTCCCTGTCAGCGTTGAAAAAACAGCTGGTAGGGATGTTAACACTCCTAAACCACTAGTGCTGGCTCCCTCCTTGCATGAAAACAGGAACGGTCTAGTGCACCCGTATCCATTGGACACACTTGACACTTGCACAAGTATAGGCCAAATAAAGAACCCTACCCACTTCTGTAACCTAACTAAAAATAAAAGTTCCTTAGTCTATAGCAAATCCAGTACTCCAACTCCTAATTCTCCACCGAAAACAGCACACAACAACTCGATAGACATAGGTGAGCATGATGCTGGAACTCCTCTTAACATAGGATCGTCATGTCCAGCAGAACTACTGGGTGCTGAACCATATTCGGGGCTGACTAACGAACTTAAATACTTCAAATGCTACTTCAACTCTCATCTTTACGTAATCCTCATAAATGCTAGATCTGTTCTAAATAAATTGCCGATGCTCAGAGCACTCACAGTAATATACAAACCCCCTGTAATTGTCATCACTGAAACTTGGTGTCATTCGGACATCCTGGATGATGAAATAAGCTTAGATAACTACACACACTTTCGGTGTGACAGGGAAGGTGGTAAGGGAGGGGGTTGTCTCATGTACTTCTTGAATGAACTTACTGTATCACAGCTAGAAAGTAGTACACTTAACATGCCTGAGACTCTATGGGTTAATGTACACTTAAATAACGTAACAGCACTAATTGGATGCTCCTACAGAGCACCTGGCACCTTTAGTAACTACGAGACCCAACTCATTAATACTCTGGAGCAATTAACCGACTTACAATACGATCATAAGATCCTATGTGGGGACTTTAACTTACCTGAAATCAACTGGGATATACCCACAGGTCCAACTAAATTTGATAAGTTCTTAGACACACTGGATATACTTGGCTGGAAACAAACTGTCACTACTCCCACAAGAGGTAACAACGTACTAGACTTAATCTTCTGCCACAATATAAGCCCCCTTTCAACGCTAGTAGGTTCTGAGTTCCCAGGGAGCGACCACAAAACAGTAATGTGTGCACTGCCAATTCCGCTGAGTAGCAATGCATCTCATACCTCCACTTCACAACAAGTAATATATAGGAACTATAGTAAGGCAAACTGGGCCTTAGTTGAATCGATGCTAAGATCCTCCAAATGGGATGAATACTTCACTACTGATGACCTATCGAGAGCCCTAACCATCTTCTACCATAACTCAAACATATGCTTAGATGCTGTCATTCCACTCCAAACACTAAAGGTTTCCCCACACAGAAAGTCATTCATAAAACCAAAGGATCGTAAGAAACTGAAGAAACTCTCAACAAGTTACTTCAAACACCACGACTTTGGCACTCTAGGTCTAATACTTAAAACCCTTAGCTCCATCACACAAGCTCAAGATTTCCGTATGAGAAAGGAAGAACGCATCGCAGTAGCCAGTCCTGCTAGAGCGTATGCACTCACAGAAATCTTAAGGAAGCGAATGAATCGCAAAAATCACAGCATTTCTCTCCTCATAGACAAAGGCAGGCTATGCACTAACTCTGCAGACATATGTGAACTATTCAACAAAACGTTTGCAGGTAACTACCTTAAGCCCTCAGTCCAGCTACTCGATATACACCCTATTACTAAAATGGCACCAACTCCACTGACACCAAACCAAATTAGCACTGTTCAATTCACTTACGCTGACATTAACCAAACTATAAGAACCCTCAAAAGTTCAAAAGGTTTCGGTACCGACGGTATATCATCTTACTTCTATAAATATGGTGGCCCTGACATTCCTCTACTACTGCTTAAAATATTCACAATGTCCCTAGAAACCCAAACTTACCCTGACATATGGAAGACTACATTCATTATGCCTAAACACAAATCTGGCTCGAAAACTGAAGTCAGTAACTACCGGCCAATCAATATCACACCTATAGCATCTAGAATCATGGAGAGACTAGTCAAAAATAACCTAATCAAACACATGCTTAGCTGCAACATCATAAGTCCGAACCAACATGGATTCCTGAAATCCAGATCATGTTTAACATGTCACCTAGACTTCTTCAATTTTGTAACCAGCAGTCGTGACAGACGGCAACTAGTACTTGTCATCTACTTTGACATTTCTAAGGCATTTGACCGTGTTGACCATTTACTGCTAACAAATAAACTGAACTCCTTAGGAATACGTGACCCATTATTAGGATGGCTTAAATCATTCCTTAACAATAGGTCCCAAATAGTTAAACTCGGGTCTGCAACCTCCAAACCTAGCCCTATCACTTCTGGTGTAGTACAAGGTAGTGTCATTGGACCCCTCCTATTTACACTATACATCAATGACATATGCGCTTGCTTCACGCACGGGAAACCATTCATCTTTGCAGATGACCTAAAAGTAGCTTATACATTCCAACGTGATGACTTAGGGAACTTCGAGAATGTAGTACAGAAGGAATTAGATAAAATGGCTGCTTGGTCGTCCCTATGGAATCTCCAATTTAATCTGAACAAATGTGGCTGGATCTGCTTCGGTGCACCCTCAATCGACCTGAAATTAACGCTCCAATCTGCTAACCTAACAAGACTCCGAAATGTCGTTGACCTAGGCCTGAGGTACTCTAGTGACTTGACATTCTCAGAGCAAGTAGCATCACAGACTAGAAAATCGAGGATGCTCTTAGGATGCATACTCAGGAACTTTCACGACAATGAAGCCAAGCTAATTCTGTACAAAACATGTGTCAGACCACTACTAGAATACTGTCCATTTATTATAAGCAGCACTCGCACACGTGACAAGCTAAGGATGGAAAGTATCCAACGATATTTTACCTCAAAACTGCTTGGCTACGATTGTAAGGAAGACTACATCTCACGGTGCATGATCCTAAAACTCGACCCACTTTGGACAAGGCGACTTATTATAAACCTAATATTCTTCTTTAAGGTCCTTCACAAAATATCTTTCTCAGGTAACAGGGACATACAATTCGCACAGGAAGGTTCTTACGATCTGCGTAACCAAACTTCCACAGTGACAACTCATTCTTTTAAGTCAACACTCCGTGAAAACTTCTTCACAGTCATGTATTCTAAAATATGGAATAGCCTACCCCTAGATATCAGAACTTGCTCTTCGGTTACAAGCTTCAAACGCTCTCTATACAGACTGTTGCACTCTACAGATTATATTAATAAACTATTTACTCCTAGAACGAATCAAGCACTAATCTACTACAGCACCTAAAAGACGCACTTCAACACCCTTAGCAATCTTTAAACTATAAATAAACTAGCAGCATGGATGCATAAAGACATAGTACGGAACATACAGGATTAGTCTACCCTTAGAAATAGGACCTATCCCTCATTGTAACCTTCAAACGCTTGCTATGTAAACTGTTTTATTCTAAAGACTATCCCTACCAGAACCCATTACTTATTTCTAAAACGCATCAGTCATTAGAACAATAAAAACGCTCAGACTATTAATACACATTATGACATTAAATAAACTCTAAGACTTCGCATAAATACGTGAAAACGCAGATACAATATAGAAAAATGTTTACTTAAGTATAATTAAGATAAACATTTATAAATGAATCATGTATTAATGTTCTTTTCATGTTCACATACTTTCTCTTTCTGGTATTTTGCTGCTCCTATTCATCTTCTGGTCGAGGTCGAACAACCCTGCATCTAAACTGAAATGAGGATTAATTCCAAACCGTCTATCTCATAACCACTCAAATTCCATGAACGATCCAATTCTACCATTTGAAGACGCTGGCGAACATGCTGTAAATGAGTATTCATGATCTGAAATGAAGAAGCAACTGGTTTTCAAACAGTTTTCAACGTTTTACTCAACTTACGAATACAGTCCGCCATGCAGACACAAATGGAGCAAATGGAGGATTCTGGAATCGACCTCGGCACCATTTGATGCAGTAAAACAACCCAACATGACCTTATTTAGTTTTCGTATCCACGATCAAATTTCTTTCCTGTTATGAAACTACGATAAGAGTGCTGAAAAAATGGAATAAATATATCACTGATCTCAACATAATACATCAATAATCTTTAAGCCATGGGTGCTGCTCACAACAAAGTTATATAAGAGAATTGACTTCAAGCTTTATTTTTCCCAGATATCTGTATTACATTCATCTGATGTCTGGGTTTTTTGTTAATGCGAAGACAATATTTCTATATCTCTTTATGTGCTACACAAACAGACTTTATAGCAGACTGTTCCTACTGACTCTAATGTCAGAAAGAACAACCAAACTGTAAATTCATTATACATTAAATTGTGTGTAATTTATATAATAACTTATCCATGCCTGTACAATTGGTATGTTCCTGCATAAACAGGAAGAAATATATATATATCAAAGTCATTGCACAAGATACTTGAGTTGATGGGCGTCTGTTTCATTGTGGATGACAACACCAACGACAACTGATTGATACCAGTTGATGAAGTTAGCGGTGGATCAGAAGCTGTTGTTGCTCGGCTTTCAGAAATTTGTCTACCTGCAAGACCACCACCACTGCTGTCTTTTACCATCAGCTCAGGTTTAGCACTAGCATCTGATGATAGGTGGGCTACATGCTGATCACTCACACTGACGGTCTCACAAGTATGCATGCCTTCTGCAACTGCATCTGCATTTATTTCTACTTCACGTTGTAGTTGTACAGAACCTTTAATTAACTTAGCAGTAGTAGACATATCCCTCATCTCATCATAATCAACCAAAGACAAATGTGAAGTATCATGATCATTATCCCGAATGTTCAATTAATCATCATCTATCTGGTCGACTTCATCAATTTCAAACTCTTTAATAACAGAAGTAGACAATTTTGGTTCCTTCTTGCAAATCCCCAAAGATTTTAAACCTTCACTCTGACTAGTAATACCTCGTAAACTTGTGGAATCAGAACTGTCCTCTGAGACTGTAACTCTCTTCTGTGACACTCTATTCAACAATGGCTTACCAGTTGCAACTAAAGACTTCTTGACCGCACAGTTACCGTCACACAATTCGGAGTCAGGCCTGGAGTTCACAGTTGAGGATATTGATTATAGAAGGTCAGGAGATAAACTCAACGACGGTTTCTCAAATTAAAGGCGTCAACCTGAGAAAGGTTGTAGGCGTACTACTCTAACTCCTACAATTCTTCAAGGGTGGTATTTCAGCCACGTCTCGTAAACCGTTAATACCCAGCTCTTGCTACGCTCGGGCTCGCGCTGTTCCTTGAAGTTTCTCAGAAACGCTTAGTAATAACGGACGCAAAAACCAAAACACTGATTTGCCACTCGAGAATTCTTTATTGTAACACCAACATATAAAAAATGTTTCCACTAAGGTCTGTGAACAAATATTACAATAATAAATCACAATATTACTTCTGACGGTTTACTGCTGACTTCTTTCTGAACAGCGACCGATGAGACGATGACTGTCGTATTGATGCCTCCGCGAAAATTGGGGAAGTTGGGTTTGAGCAAGCAACCATGAACTGATCGTTCAATCTTGAAGTCCATTGACACTCCTCGGCCCAATAAGGGATCCATCCCTTTTTTCCACCACGACCAATACACGTTGACTTGGATGCCATTGCGAGAACCTGGGTCACACGGACAGAGCTGAAATGGAAAACAAACAGAAAAGCCAACACACCACAGGCATACTCACAGCACATTTTCACACATCAATGACGACCTGCGCCTTCCAGTTAAAGGCATCCTATTGCAACAAAATCGCCACTTGCTAGAATGTCTCTTGCAGAATGCGACGTGACCATAGCACCAACTCATGATACTCCACGCATATCCTCTTATCTACTCACTACCAATTACCACTGAAATTGCTTGTCACTCATTCTGCCTCAGTTCTAGTAACGGTGATGTATGCAAGCCTCAGTCGTTTACACTCTTGCTCCCCGGCGTGTGGGACCGCAGCTAACAATTATCTCCATAGGCATTTCATTCTCAGCAATAGCCTCCCCGGCGTAAACGACCCATCTGCTGTCCTTAACATCAATCAATTCATTCACGGATGTAGAAGACTCGAAACAAATTCAGAAGTAATCACGACGAAAATTTTAACAAAATTAAGTAATAACAACAAGGTACGAAAACAACGAGTAAACACAATGAATCCAAAACACCACCAATTGATATGACACACCACACGTATATACAAACAGTACAAATAACCTCGCGGATCATGTCTTGATGGAATTCCTTTGAAGAATCGCAGGACTTGCACCAGTACGCCTACAACCCTTCACAGGTTGACGATTGTAAGTTGTGGGATGTCCGGACACAAACAAGATTAACCAACAATTACAATAATTGGAACTCACACAGTTATTTAACACAAACATATGTACAATCAATACCTCAAATGTTGTGGATTCTGACACGACAAACTACCCTTGAAGGACTGTAGGACTGACAGCAGTACGCCTACATTCCTTCTCAGGTTGATGATCCAAGTGGAAGTCGTACGGACACAAACAGAATTACCAACAGCTAGATGACAGATGATATCAATTCAGTATATACAATATGAACATATGTACAAGATCATACACCAAGCACATTGGACTGCTCATTGATGCGCTACCCTCTGAAGAATTGTAGGACTTACAGCAGTACGCCTACAACCCTTCTCAGGTTGACGCTCTAGGTAGGAAAATCGTCGCAGAGTTCATTTGCTGGCTTCCTTCTATCAGCTATATCCTCAAATCTGAACGGAAACACGCTCATGTCATTGTATCGTAGAATGTAGATGACTAACAAACACACGACGTATCTGGTCAACCAAGCGTAGGCACAGAGTAATTTACACCAAAGATAATAGCATTCAAATAGTAACTTGAAACTAGAAATGCCTTTATTCATGCAAGTCAATTCAACAATTACTCTCTCGTTTACACTTGGCTTATCCTCACTAAACTGACCAATATCTTTCGTACTTTCAAATGCACCAATACTATCAAAGTCATTGCACAAGATACTTGAGTTGATGGGCGTCTGTTTCATTGTGGATGACAACACCAACGACAACTGATTGATACCAGTTGATGAAGTTAGCGGTGGATCAGAAGCTGTTGTTGCTCGGCTTTCAGAAATTTGTCTACCTGCAAGACCACCACCACTGCTGTCTTTTACCATCAGCTCAGGTTTAGCACTAGCATCTGATGATAGGTGGGCTACATGCTGATCACTCACACTGACGGTCTCACAAGTATGCATGCCTTCTGCAACTGCATCTGCATTTATTTCTACTTCACGTTGTAGTTGTACAGAACCTTTAATTAACTTAGCAGTAGTAGACATATCCCTCATCTCATCATAATCAACCAAAGACAAATGTGAAGTATCATGATCATTATCCCGAATGTTCAATTAATCATCATCTATCTGGTCGACTTCATCAATTTCAAACTCTTTAATAACAGAAGTAGACAATTTTGGTTCCTTCTTGCAAATCCCCAAAGATTTTAAACCTTCACTCTGACTAGTAATACCTCGTAAACTTGTGGAATCAGAACTGTCCTCTGAGACTGTAACTCTCTTCTGTGACACTCTATTCAACAATGGCTTACCAGTTGCAACTAAAGACTTCTTGACCGCACAGTTACCGTCACACAATTCGGAGTCAGGCCTGGAGTTCACAGTTGAGGATATTGATTATAGAAGGTCAGGAGATAAACTCAACGACGGTTTCTCAAATTAAAGGCGTCAACCTGAGAAAGGTTGTAGGCGTACTACTCTAACTCCTACAATTCTTCAAGGGTGGTATTTCAGCCACGTCTCGTAAACCGTTAATACCCAGCTCTTGCTACGCTCGGGCTCGCGCTGTTCCTTGAAGTTTCTCAGAAACGCTTAGTAATAACGGACGCAAAAACCAAAACACTGATTTGCCACTCGAGAATTCTTTATTGTAACACCAACATATAAAAAATGTTTCCACTAAGGTCTGTGAACAAATATTACAATAATAAATCACAATATTACTTCTGACGGTTTACTGCTGACTTCTTTCTGAACAGCGACCGATGAGACGATGACTGTCGTATTGACGCCTCCGCGAAAATTGGGGAAGTTGGTTTTGAGCAAACAACCAAGAATTGATCGTTCATTCTTCAACTGCCTTGACAGGCTTTGTGGTAAATCCGTACCAGTCGGTTTCTTCTGATGATATTCTGTTGGGTTCAGTTCTAACCCGACTGTTCGCATTCATTTTAGTACTTTTGGAATGTCACTTAACTGTCCATTTTTTGTCTTACAACGTGTGATGACATTGTCTTCATATATTAAACTGTTACCCACGGGCGTTTGCATGAGAATTTGAAATGTCGCTAGGGCATTTACTAAACCGAATGGCATTGTTCATATGTCCATATCGGGTCGGTTTTACGGTGAATGCTATGTATTGTGTGTCCTGTGGATATACGTCCATTTTTCAATGTACGGAAGCTAAATCTAAGGCAGTAAATCAGTTCAGTCTCTCCAAGACATCAAAAGTATCGTCTATACGTGATAGAGGCAGTTAGTTTCGTCTGGTTAACTGGTTCAGTTTAAGATAATTCATACCCAACCGAAGTGTTCCATTTCGGTTTTAAAATGAAACAATAGGCAAGCCCGCGGAGGCACAAGTGGCTTAATGACAACATTTCACAACGGCCCGTCAACTAATTTACTCAGCCTCCTCCAATAATGTGAATGGACTCACCATGCTGGTTACTGGCAAGATGGAGCGTCCCGCGTATCTATCTGGTGTTGACTAAGCTTTGCCTTTCCCGGGTGTTTTCCATCACATTCGAAACAGTCCATAAAATCGTCTAGTAATTTACTGAATTTGATTGCCATTTCCTAGGGTAGGGGATCTACGGTAGTTAACATTTCCTTGCTCCGGTTCTTGGAGTCACTCTGCACGCTATATACTGCTTGTTTTGTTTCGTTTCCTTTCAAAAATGGAACAGAGCCACCACCTGGTACGAGGAGTGTTTGGTTGCATTCAGTTACCTCAAACAACTCTCCTAATAGGTCGACTCCTAATATTATTTGTCACCGTACCTGAGTAAATACTGTGAAAGCCTGCTCAAGATACACTATCCTAAAATTTAGAGGTAGCAGGATTACTCCTATGGACTGCATCCAACTTCCGTCGTCTGCTGTAAGCCACAACTGGTGGCTCCCTATTATGGACACATAGGTCTCCGGAGCAGGTGAAGATTGTACAGCAGAACAAGTCGCTCCGAGTCTACTAACATCACACACTTTCCGCTGACACCGGCTAAGTTATTTCAAGAGACAAATTTTTTATCAAATGATGACTTACCTACATTGTGTTCACAAGTCCCGGAGAACTTGCTGAACTTTGCGCCGATAGTCCACTGTGTGATGTGATTTCTGGTTCTTCTAATCTTACAAATAGTCGCGCCCTTTTATCTGCTGATTTCATGGATGACGGTGTGTGTGAGCTATACGAAAAATGGACACCCGCAGAGACTTGAGAAAGACTGTATCCTCAACTTCCGGTTGTGAAATGACCTGCTTAGCTCGACATACAAGCTTACGCAGACTCAATACGAAGTGGTTGTTCGACCTCATTTCCATCTGACTGCATCCATTAGGCTTTTTCAGTGCTGCTACATGAGGCAATGGTGGCCATATCTATGCTTGCGGAATGCCCAAAAGGGCACTCAACAACATACACATAATACATACCAGTCACATGCATTTCTAGAGACCGTCAGACACAACCAATGGTGAATGCGTCTGGGACTTACACCAGTTAAGCGTGTCGACAAATCATGTCTGAGCATAGATCAAGGTCCTCGCCAACCTCCAGTTTATGCGGCAAGAGATGAATATAATTCCGTAAAGCTTAATTTAATTCCAAGTATTGGACCGTGGCCACATCCAGCTGATCGACATCCTGGTTAGCTGATGTCTGATGATCAGTTCAGGTGCTCTTTGTAGCCTCAGTGAGTTAAGACCTAGAGATTAGATCTTTACTCGTTGACTCTCTGTTTAATTGTACGTTGCGAGTCGTCAGACAACGGTCTGAAATCGATAACGTAGCGTACATTAGCAGGCTGATCACACAAAGACTGCATGCCAGTAAGAACGAGGATTCAATTTCAAAGATTACATTTACGACCAGTCCCGTTACAGATGAGCGAAAGAAGAGAAATCTTCCGATTGGTTTCCCATCATGTCGTCTTGAGTCGCCAATCCGTGTATGCCATACAGCTGGTTTAATATCCGACTAGGATACAGTGTAATCATAAGAAAACCACCTGATATGGTTTGCCTTATAATGAGCAGCCATAAACACCAAGTTAATGAATAACGGGATCTTGGGATTGAGATATTTAGACTAAGATTTGATAGTGCTACGTCTTACGCTACTGCTGATCATCAGTTACTGGTATCCGCTCAGCAATGAGACTTAAACACATTATATACGGTTATGATCCAAATTTGATAATATTGAGTGTATACAAATATACTCCTGAGCATAGAAAGGTCAAAAATAAACTTGATACAAATCTTTTATTGTATGACTTGTCAATTGAAGGTGCTCTTGGTAATGTTGACTGTTCGTTAGTTAAGCTACCACGGGACTGAATTACTCCATCTATGCATGTATGCGTTAGACTATATTGAAGGTTATGAGTTTGACTTAGAAAATAAATTTGACTATATTGGCTATTTATAAATGTTATAATGGGCGCAGTGTTTCGTTTCTAATAATTATTAACGGAATTTCACATTATGTTAACGTAAAATCCAGTTCATTGTTTAAAGGCTATTTGTTTTTGGAGGGCTATTAGAAAGGTACGCGTGGTTTCGTGAAATTCTTTTTCCTACATCTAAACATCATAAAATATGAAGTGTGAAAGTTGTGGCTAAATTAATCTCGTAAATGCCACATAATTTATTAATATTAACGACTTATTTTCGCTCTGACCAGTCCCTGGGCGAACTGATCTGTAGGTTTTCGACCCTGGTACGCCTCAGGAATATGGTGGGTACTCTTCTGTTCTGAAGGGTACTCACAGAGACGCATCAGAAACATGTATTGTTTTGTTGATGACGTTAGTCACATCATCGGTGGCTGAGCAGTAATCGCTCTTCTTTCGTGGTGGAAGACCCTTGCAGTCCAGGAGCTTTAGAACCCCACTGATGGTGGGGTTGAGTATTGGTTCTCACATCGAGTCATAAACTCTTGGAACCGACTCCCAGAAGAAGTGGTGTCTGCAACCTCAACTGATTCGTTCAAGAAGGGTTTGGACAACCACAGAAATCTACTAGAAAAGGATTAACATAGGCTCCAAGCCTTCTATCCTCAACCAATAAATCTGAATGGTGGCAGTGACTTCCGTCATATGAAACTTAGTCGTACTACAGCAGTCATTGCACAGCCAGTTTGCCAGAGATATATATAACCTTAAAAATTAGTAATAAAAAGACGATTGAGTGCACAAAAATGGATATATATATATATATAACTATTAAGTTATAAGAACACAATTTCCTATAATTAAATCGACTCAAAACTGAAATGTAAACTAACTTCGATCAGAATAAACTGATTTAAAGTTAATCTATAAGCTTTTGGAGCACAACAAAAGCCAAAATTAAACAGGTATGTGTAAAACTCACTCAGAAATACGTTCCCGACGCAGCATCTCAGTATTCAATATCCAGGCATGGCTGATTTGCAGGGATTGTTGCGTAGTGGCTAGCGGTAGTGTGCTGCTTTACGGTATTCGCAAACTTACACTTCAGCATCTGATTCTTAATACTACAGAGGTATACCATATATTAGGAGGAAATGTTACTTGGTCTTACCCTAGGACCTTCAAGCAATTTATGTAATTGAGGTTTTCTTCATAATGAGCGATTTCAAATTCAGACTCACATGGCAAAGGGTGATGGGCTCTTGTGACCTGTGTTAGTCCTTTCAATATGTATCTTTGTAGAGGTCTAATTCCTCTCCAAAAGCATTCACCAATGGAAAGCGTGATCAGTTTTGCAGTTGCTGACCACTGTGTGAGAATTTAAATTTCACATTTGCGACCACATTTCGATCACAAAAAGGTATCGTAGAGGAAGAGAAACAGTTTGGGAGGTCAACAGCCAAATCATCCTTTAAAATGAGATTTAAAAAATTGATTCTTGTTCCCTTCGCTATGATAATGGTGTTTAAATGTTATAGCCTCTTCTCGTAAGGAAGGCAATTTAGTTAACAGCCTTTGTACTCTTTATGAGACTTTCTTGAAGTATAAACAGGTCGCTTGTATGCAGTATTCTAGGTGAAGCCTGAGTACTTTAAACATGGACTCCGTCGAAGTGTTCATGACGTTCGAAAAGAATTAGCTGCAGCTACACATCTTTGCAAAGTTCTATGTGGAAAACTTATAGACAAACAGCAGCTATACTACAACATACAGTCGTTTTCAAATAATGCCTCATGATAATTCCTAAGTCCTCTTGCCCCTAAGAATCATAAAGTTCTTTCCCCAAGGGAATACGTGTAACACATGTGATCTAAATGCATTATTGGCCTATTTCTGAAATTAGTTTCCATGTAAGACTGACCTATCGTTTGTTTCTTATGCCCCCTTTATGATGCATGCCAGACTGAAAAGTCGGTGCCAACCCCCTATTTCCTCTCTGAAGACGAGGCTTATAACTGCGTTTTTCCAGTCCCTGTGCAACCTAGCATGAGTCAGACATTTCGGACATTTTAAGTGGCAAGTATATTATATCAACTAAGGAAACCATTAGTTTAGGCTGGAGTCCGTCAGGTCCCGGTGACTTACTTTGCTTCAGTTTAAATAGTAGTTTACAAACTACTGCGTCATATAGTTGTGACATTTTTGTAGTGACGGCAGTAAATTCGCTATACTCCTGGGTGTTATGGTCAGGCGAGAAAACACCACGGAAGTATTCGTCAAAGTTTTCAGTCTTCGCTTCATCAGATTCCGCCTCCTCACCTTAATCGTTTATTAGTGACTGTATACTACTGCTTATTTTAGTCCTACGTTCCATATGCGTACAGTCTTTTGGGGGCAATATAGACAGCCCAAAACTAACTGCCTGTCCTACTCTATACTACTTCTGTCAACCATATACTTGCAAAGGTCCCGAACTTTACGGTAGCCTATCTTAAACTCCTTGCCTGTTACAGTACACTGATTCCACAAGCTTATCCTCTTTCTTAATAACCTTATTTTATTACTAATCAAAGGTGGTGTATGTGAATTGATATATTCTAGAGACTAAGAGTTCGGCACCATTCAGGATTTCAAAAGCTTTTACATCAATATCAACCAGTAGGGTATTATTGTTCGCCTCACTGCAGCAATTGTACTTCTGGCGTATACATATACATAATCGCATTTATGAAGAATTTTTGAAAAAACTAAATTGGTTGGTGTCACACTGAAACATGACGGAAGAATTAATTAGTCAACTAGTCTAAATCGGCTAGTGTAGTTTTTTTCGATGCAGTTATCGAAATTTTTAGAAACGGTGCATGGAAACTCTTCGAAACATGACCTTAGTAATGCCTGCAAAACTGAGCGTATTCATCGGATAGCCTATAACCTACCTATCCCTTTCCCATGTCAATTTATGTCCCTTGGCCGTTTTAAAGCGTGTTAACACGAACGGATGCATCTGTGTGCAGTTGTAAGTCAGAAGGTTATATCTTTTTACACATTCGCATTTTGTATTCTCCTAATCTAGACAGAGTCAATTTTAGTTTAATTTATGTATTTGTTCCACAAAATAAATACTTCAGATAAATTCTTTTTATAAATGTGCCATCATTATCACTCTTGTGATTTGGATTGGATGTATAAAAAATATAGGAACAATTTTGTGTTACATAGGCAGCAATATTACTTGTTTAACTTGAATAGCTTGTTACTAACTTTATTTCGTTTTATAAATATTCACTAATAAACCTAGAGCGTGAAAAAATAAGATTAGTTCTTAAAAAACGCCGTGTTCAATAATTAATATTATCTACAATATTGGGTGTAAAGAGCAATGACGAAAAAAGGAAAATCTCAAGATGTTAGTCACAGTAATGAAGATGTCAGGACATCAACAAATTCTTGCAACATCCCCTCAGGACACAAAACAACTCCCTTTAGTGAACACAATCACAAAGAAAATCACCAAAAAAATATTGACTCCAAAATTCAATCCCATACCAGTTATCAAACAGAGAACCACGAAAAATTTATAAATAACTCAAAATCGATTAAGAAACAACCGAACAATATCCAACCCTCAACCACCAACACATATGACAAACCCAGCGACGAACCATTCAAACAGGGAAAATCTACCTTGAAAAAAAATCAGAACCAGATGCAGTACATCGCACACCAGACTCCTCAATCCGTCGAGAAAAAGAAGAATACAGCTAGAGCGTCCAGTTCAGATTCCGACTCTAGCGATGATGAGCAGCCAGTGAGTAAGAAGCCTGCGATAGCGAAGGCATCTCCGGTAGTTGGTAAGCCTGCAGTGAGCATGGTTGGCGGTAAGAAGGTGGTTGGAAAGCCGGCGTCGTCGAGTTCCGATTCAGATTCCAGTGATGATGGAGGTGCTGTCGCAGTGAAGAGGCCTGTTGTTGCAGCTGGTAAGCCGTTGTCGAGTGGTGTGCCCCAGACGACGCCACAGTCTGTGCAGAAGAAGAAGGTTGCAGCTGCAGCGTCCAGTTCAGATTCCGACTCTAGCGATGATGAGCAGCCAGTGAGTAAGAAGCCTGCGATAGTGAAGGCATCTCCGGTAGTTGGTAAGCCTGCAGTGAGCATGGTTGGCGGTAAGAAGGTGGTTGGAAAGCCGGCGTCGTCGAGTTCCGATTCAGATTCCAGTGATGATGGAGGTGCTGTCGCAGTGAAGAGGCCTGTTGTTGCAGCTGGTAAGCCGTTGTCGAGTGGTGTGCCCCAGACGACGCCACAGTCTGTGCAGAAGAAGAAGGTTGCAGCTGCAGCGTCCAGTTCAGATTCCGACTCTAGCGATGATGAGCAGCCAGTGAGTAAGAAGCCTGCGATAGTGAAGGCATCTCCGGTAGTTGGTAAGCCTGCAGTGAGCATGGTTGGCGGTAAGAAGGTGGTTGGAAAGCCGGCGTCGTCGAGTTCCGATTCAGATTCCAGTGATGATGGAGGTGCTGTTGCAGTGAAGAGGCCTGTTGTTGCAGCTGGTAAGCCGTTGTCGAGTGGTGTGCCCCAGACGACGCCACAGTCTGTGCAGAAGAAGAAGGTTGCAGCTGCAGCGTCCAGTTCAGATTCCGACTCTAGCGATGATGAGCAGCCAGTGAGTAAGAAGCCTGCGATAGTGAAGGCATCTCCGGTAGTTGGTAAGCCTGCAGTGAGCATGGTTGGCGGTAAGAAGGTGGTTGGAAAGCCGGCGTCGTCGAGTTCCGATTCAGATTCCAGTGATGATGGAGGTGCTGTTGCAGTGAAGAAGCCTGTTGTTGCAGCTGGTAAGCCGTTGTCGAGTGGTGTGCCCCAGACGACGCCACAGTCTGTGCAGAAGAAGAAGGTTGCAGCTGCAGCGTCCAGTTCAGATTCCGACTCTAGCGATGATGAGCAGCCAGTGAGTAAGAAGCCTGCGATAGCGAAGGCATCTCCGGTAGTTGGTAAGCCTGCAGTGAGCATGGTTGGCGGTAAGAAGGTGGTTGGAAAGCCGGCGTCGTCGAGTTCCGATTCAGATTCCAGTGATGATGGAGGTGCTGTTGCAGTGAAGAGGCCTGTTGTTGCAGCTGGTAAGCCGTTGTCGAGTGGTGTGCCCCAGACGACGCCACAGTCTGTGCAGAAGAAGAAGGTTGCAGCTGCAGCGTCCAGTTCAGATTCCGACTCTAGCGATGATGAGCAGCCAGTGAGTAAGAAGCCTGCGATAGTGAAGGCATCTCCGGTAGTTGGTAAGCCTGCAGTGAGCATGGTTGGCGGTAAGAAGGTGGTTGGAAAGCCGGCGTCGTCGAGTTCCGATTCAGATTCCAGTGATGATGGAGGTGCTGTCGCAGTGAAGAGGCCTGTTGTTGCAGCTGGTAAGCCGTTGTCGAGTGGTGTGCCCCAGACGACGCCACAGTCTGTGCAGAAGAAGAAGGTTGCAGCTGCAGCGTCCAGTTCAGATTCCGACTCTAGCGATGATGAGCAGCCAGTGAGTAAGAAGCCTGCGATAGTGAAGGCATCTCCGGTAGTTGGTAAGCCTGCAGTGAGCATGGTTGGCGGTAAGAAGGTGGTTGGAAAGCCGGCGTCGTCGAGTTCCGATTCAGATTCCAGTGATGATGGAGGTGCTGTTGCAGTGAAGAAGCCTGTTGTTGCAGCTGGTAAGCCGTTGTCGAGTGGTGTGCCCCAGACGACGCCACAGTCTGTGCAGAAGAAGAAGGTTGCAGCTGCAGCGTCCAGTTCAGATTCCGACTCTAGCGATGATGAGCAGCCAGTGAGTAAGAAGCCTGCGATAGTGAAGGCATCTCCGGTAGTTGGTAAGCCTGCAGTGAGCATGGTTGGCGGTAAGAAGGTGGTTGGAAAGCCGGCGTCGTCGAGTTCCGATTCAGATTCCAGTGATGATGGAGGTGCTTTTGCAGTGAAGAAGCCTGTTGTTGCAGCTGGTAAGCCGTTGTCGAGTGGTGTGCCCCAGACGACGCCACAGTCTGTGCAGAAGAAGAAGGTTGCAGCTGCAGCGTCCAGTTCAGATTCCGACTCTAGCGATGATGAGCAGCCAGTGAGTAAGAAGCCTGCGATAGTGAAGGCATCTCCGGTAGTTGGTAAGCCTGCAGTGAGCATGGTTGGCGGTAAGAAGGTGGTTGGAAAGCCGGCGTCGTCGAGTTCCGATTCAGATTCCAGTGATGATGGAGGTGCTGTTGCAGTGAAGAGGCCTGTTGTTGCAGCTGGTAAGCCGTTGTCGAGTGGTGTGCCCCAGACGACGCCACAGTCTGTGCAGAAGAAGAAGGTTGCAGCTGCAGCGTCCAGTTCAGATTCCGACTCTAGCGATGATGAGCAGCCAGTGAGTAAGAAGCCTGCGATAGTGAAGGCATCTCCGGTAGTTGGTAAGCCTGCAGTGAGCATGGTTGGCGGTAAGAAGGTGGTTGGAAAGCCGGCGTCGTCGAGTTCCGATTCAGATTCCAGTGATGATGGAGGTGCTGTTGCAGTGAAGAGGCCTGTTGTTGCAGCTGGTAAGCCGTTGTCGAGTGGTGTGCCCCAGACGACGCCACAGTCTGTGCAGAAGAAGAAGGTTGCAGCTGCAGCGTCCAGTTCAGATTCCGACTCTAGCGATGATGAGCAGCCAGTGAGTAAGAAGCCTGCGATAGTGAAGGCATCTCCGGTAGTTGGTAAGCCTGCAGTGAGCATGGTTGGCGGTAAGAAGGTGGTTGGAAAGCCGGCGTCGTCGAGTTCCGATTCAGATTCCAGTGATGATGGAGGTGCTGTTGCAGTGAAGAAGCCTGTTGTTGCAGCTGGTAAGCCGTTGTCGAGTGGCGTGCCCCAGACGACGCCACAGTCTGTGCAGAAGAAGAAGGTTGCAGCTGCAGCGTCCAGTTCAGATTCCGACTCTAGCGATGATGAGCAGCCAGTGAGTAAGAAGCCTGCGATAGTGAAGGCATCTCCGGTAGTTGGTAAGCCTGCAGTGAGCATGGTTGGCGGTAAGAAGGTGGTTGGAAAGCCGGCGTCGTCGAGTTCCGATTCAGATTCCAGTGATGATGGAGGTGCTGTTGCAGTGAAGAGGCCTGTTGTTGCAGCTGGTAAGCCGTTGTCGAGTGGTGTGCCCCAGACGACGCCACAGTCTGTGCAGAAGAAGAAGGTTGCAGCTGCAGCGTCCAGTTCAGATTCCGACTCTAGCGATGATGAGCAGCCAGTGAGTAAGAAGCCTGCGATAGTGAAGGCATCTCCGGTAGTTGGTAAGCCTGCAGTGAGCATGGTTGGCGGTAAGAAGGTGGTTGGAAAGCCGGCGTCGTCGAGTTCCGATTCAGATTCCAGTGATGATGGAGGTGCTGTTGCAGTGAAGAGGCCTGTTGTTGCAGCTGGTAAGCCGTTGTCGAGTGGTGTGCCCCAGACGACGCCACAGTCTGTGCAGAAGAAGAAGGTTGCAGCTGCAGCGTCCAGTTCAGATTCCGACTCTAGCGATGATGAGCAGCCAGTGAGTAAGAAGCCTGCGATAGTGAAGGCATCTCCGGTAGTTGGTAAGCCTGCAGTGAGCATGGTTGGCGGTAAGAAGGTGGTTGGAAAGCCGGCGTCGTCGAGTTCCGATTCAGATTCCAGTGATGATGGAGGTGCTGTTGCAGTGAAGAAGCCTGTTGTTGCAGCTGGTAAGCCGTTGTCGAGTGGTGTGCCCCAGACGACGCCACAGTCTGTGCAGAAGAAGAAGGTTGCAGCTGCAGCGTCCAGTTCAGATTCCGACTCTAGCGATGATGAGCAGCCAGTGAGTAAGAAGCCTGCGATAGTGAAGGCATCTCCGGTAGTTGGTAAGCCTGCAGTGAGCATGGTTGGCGGTAAGAAGGTGGTTGGAAAGCCGGCGTCGTCGAGTTCCGATTCAGATTCCAGTGATGATGGAGGTGCTGTTGCAGTGAAGAAGCCTGTTGTTGCAGCTGGTAAGCCGTTGTCGAGTGGTGTGCCCCAGACGACGCCACAGTCTGTGCAGAAGAAGAAGGTTGCAGCTGCAGCGTCCAGTTCAGATTCCGACTCTAGCGATGATGAGCAGCCAGTGAGTAAGAAGCCTGCGATAGCGAAGGCATCTCCGGTAGTTGGTAAGCCTGCAGTGAGCATGGTTGGCGGTAAGAAGGTGGTTGGAAAGCCGGCGTCGTCGAGTTCCGATTCAGATTCCAGTGATGATGGAGGTGCTGTCGCAGTGAAGAGGCCTGTTGTTGCAGCTGGTAAGCCGTTGTCGAGTGGTGTGCCCCAGACGACGCCACAGTCTGTGCAGAAGAAGAAGGTTGCAGCTGCAGCGTCCAGTTCAGATTCCGACTCTAGCGATGATGAGCAGCCAGTGAGTAAGAAGCCTGCGATAGTGAAGGCATCTCCGGTAGTTGGTAAGCCTGCAGTGAGCATGGTTGGCGGTAAGAAGGTGGTTGGAAAGCCGGCGTCGTCGAGTTCCGATTCAGATTCCAGTGATGATGGAGGTGCTGTTGCAGTGAAGAGGCCTGTTGTTGCAGCTGGTAAGCCGTTGTCGAGTGGTGTGCCCCAGACGACGCCACAGTCTGTGCAGAAGAAGAAGGCTGCAGCTGCAGCGTCCAGTTCAGATTCCGACTCTAGCGATGATGAGCAGCCAGTGAGTAAGAAGCCTGCGATAGTGAAGGCATCTCCGGTAGTTGGTAAGCCTGCAGTGAGCATGGTTGGCGGTAAGAAGGTGGTTGGAAAGCCGGCGTCGTCGAGTTCCGATTCAGATTCCAGTGATGATGGAGGTGCTGTTGCAGTGAAGAAGCCTGTTGTTGCAGCTGGTAAGCCGTTGTCGAGTGGTGTGCCCCAGACGACGCCACAGTCTGTGCAGAAGAAGAAGGTTGCAGCTGCAGCGTCCAGTTCAGATTCCGACTCTAGCGATGATGAGCAGCCAGTGAGTAAGAAGCCTGCGATAGTGAAGGCATCTCCGGTAGTTGGTAAGCCTGCAGTGAGCATGGTTGGCGGTAAGAAGGTGGTTGGAAAGCCGGCGTCGTCGAGTTCCGATTCAGATTCCAGTGATGATGGAGGTGCTGTTGCAGTGAAGAGGCCTGTTGTTGCAGCTGGTAAGCCGTTGTCGAGTGGTGTGCCCCAGACGACGCCACAGTCTGTGCAGAAGAAGAAGGCTGCAGCTGCAGCGTCCAGTTCAGATTCCGACTCTAGCGATGATGAGCAGCCAGTGAGTAAGAAGCCTGCGATAGTGAAGGCATCTCCGGTAGTTGGTAAGCCTGCAGTGAGCATGGTTGGCGGTAAGAAGGTGGTTGGAAAGCCGGCGTCGTCGAGTTCCGATTCAGATTCCAGTGATGATGGAGGTGCTGTCGCAGTGAAGAGGCCTGTTGTTGCAGCTGGTAAGCCGTTGTCGAGTGGTGTGCCCCAGACGACGCCACAGTCTGTGCAGAAGAAGAAGGTTGCAGCTGCAGCGTCCAGTTCAGATTCCGACTCTAGCGATGATGAGCAGCCAGTGAGTAAGAAGCCTGCGATAGTGAAGGCATCTCCGGTAGTTGGTAAGCCTGCAGTGAGCATGGTTGGCGGTAAGAAGGTGGTTGGAAAGCCGGCGTCGTCGAGTTCCGATTCAGATTCCAGTGATGATGGAGGTGCTGTTGCAGTGAAGAGGCCTGTTGTTGCAGCTGGTAAGCCGTTGTCGAGTGGTGTGCCCCAGACGACGCCACAGTCTGTGCAGAAGAAGAAGGCTGCAGCTGCAGCGTCCAGTTCAGATTCCGACTCTAGCGATGATGAGCAGCCAGTGAGTAAGAAGCCTGCGATAGTGAAGGCATCTCCGGTAGTTGGTAAGCCTGCAGTGAGCATGGTTGGCGGTAAGAAGGTGGTTGGAAAGCCGGCGTCGTCGAGTTCCGATTCAGATTCCAGTGATGATGGAGGTGCTGTTGCAGTGAAGAAGCCTGTTGTTGCAGCTGGTAAGCCGTTGTCGAGTGGTGTGCCCCAGACGACGCCACAGTCTGTGCAGAAGAAGAAGGTTGCAGCTGCAGCGTCCAGTTCAGATTCCGACTCTAGCGATGATGAGCAGCCAGTGAGTAAGAAGCCTGCGATAGTGAAGGCATCTCCGGTAGTTGGTAAGCCTGCAGTGAGCATGGTTGGCGGTAAGAAGGTGGTTGGAAAGCCGGCGTCGTCGAGTTCCGATTCAGATTCCAGTGATGATGGAGGTGCTGTTGCAGTGAAGAAGCCTGTTGTTGCAGCTGGTAAACCGTTGTCGAGTGGTGTGCCACAGACGACGCCACAGTCTGTGCAGAAGAAGAAGGCTGTCGGTGATTGTGGCGATACCAGCGTAGATCATACTGCTTCTGGGCCTCGTGTGTCGTTCGTTTGTCCTGTATCTTTGGATTCTCCAATGGAGTCTGTTTCTGTTCGCAATGGTGGTGTGAATCATCGGAAACGCGCATATTCCTATGGTGAAGATTCTGATAAATTGAATGGTTCGGCGAATAAATCTTGCGACACATCAATGAATCGGAGTGATACCTCTCTAACGTCTCTTACTCCTGATAGTGCTAGAAAATTTAGAGCCGGTAGCACACCTTTTCGTCGTGTTGTCGAAGATGAAGTGTTTGTACATCCTAGCTTGAGGGATAATTCGTTCGATGCAAAGGTTAGTTTTATCATATGGGATAATATTCATTCGGTATAACTTATTTTGAATTTCCTACTAGCGCTAAAGAAGTTTTTATTCAGTGTTTGATTTTTTTAACGTAGAGTGCGTGGTCTACTGTTTGTAGATTCACTTCATTCCGTCTAATGGTTGAAAGAAATTTCATGTAGCTCCATTGTAGCTCTCAGGTATTATCTCTAATGGGCATCCTAAAGGCTTTAAGATTCAGTGCATACGATTTTGTGGATTATTACAGGGTCATGTGTTTCTGTTTTTTTGTGATATTTTCTCTTACTCAGCTTAAAATTATTTTCCCCTTTAGCAGAAGAGATACTTAATTTCAGTTGATAGGATAACATTCTTAAACGGAGAATGTGCTCACTAAATAAATATTGGATGTTTTAAGCGAAACAGTATTTTATAAACTATTCTATTTTTTATGCATAGAGTGACAAGTGTGAATCTTATGCTTGGTAAGACTTTCCGAAACACAGCAGCCTGTGAAATCATGAGGGTGCAGAAACAGGCAGAAATTCAAATCTTTTGAGCATAATGTAACCCTAGTGGTGTGAAGGAATATGATAGGGATTTAACTACGTTATCGAATCGGATCCAATAACATGTTAAGAGGAAATGGATATGTATTGAGAAATTCACATATTGCATTATGGCAACTATCATTATTATTGTTCCCTTGGGTTCCTAGTAGAACATAGGGCTTCAAGTGCACGTCTCCACTTGCTTCTGTCTTCTGCTGTACTTTTCACCTGCATCCATATTAGTTCATACTCTTTCAACTCCTCCTCCTCTTCACACGATCTCCTCCATGTCACCCTTACACTGACGTCCCACTCGCCGCTTCCCATTCTGTCGGGTCCCACTCGAGCAATGGCCTGACGCCCGCGCGATGTCACCCAGTGGCGGCCTCAGCAACGAGTGTCCAATCCATCTCAATCCACTTTCTCTTGCATATTTGTTGGTTGGCGATTGGTTCTTGTGTTGTTTTGTTTGTTCCAGTCATAGTTTCTTGGTGATTCTTTCCGGCCCGGCCATCTGATCTTCAGTATAGAGCGAAGACAGTTGTTGGTGAAGGTCTGGAATAGCCAGCCTGTTGGAAATATTCTTTGTGACCCGCCCGCCAAGTTTCCCATCCGATCCGTATAGAAGAACTGACTGACTTGACGTTGTTTGTATTGAAAATCCGACCGAATTTATTTGTTGATGCTGGCTGAGTGACGAAGATTTCCAGATTGGTTTCAGGTTGATTGACGAATGTGTTTCTCGCCTTCCCGATTCTCGCTCGATTTGACATCCTCGTCCGTTCCGACTGCCTGTAGTTGAGACAATGCTCCCTAGATAAGTAAGTGAATGAAGTAACCTCTTTCAAATGCCTTCCGTTGATAGTGATTGGCGCTGGATGTTGCTGCGGTTGGTGGTGGTTGGTTATTTTCATAATCTCCGTCTTGTCCATTTTCACATGGAGTCCTGTCTTCACCGGCTGCTTCTTCGACTAGTTCGTCGGTTTTCGCTTGTAAGTCTTCGATTTTGTGTGACATCAAACATAATTCATCCACGAAATCCATTATGGCAACTAATACACTCTAAATCGACATCTTGTTTTTAAACAAAGAATCAGTTTAGGCGATCATATTTTTCTCTCTGGTTTGAGTAAACAATATCCTTCTTGATAACTTTATCATCTCAATGAGATAAACAGTTACAGTCAAATATGTATTTTTTCTATTCTTTCTGCCTTAAAAAGAAGCTTTTTTTCAACTCTAACCTTATTTTCTCTCCCCTACAGCGAAATTCACACGGTTCATGGGGCGAAAAAGCAAATCGTGATTTCAAGTTTACCAGTGGTAAGGTATTCAAACAAGAGAAGACTAAAAAGAAGAGAGGAAGTTATGTAGGAGGTTCTCTTTCTACAGTTCCATGTTCTTTTAAGTTTGATGATGAGTAGTAAACAGTTTATGGCAATCACCTGTAAATATGTTTTTGTTAACATGCATTCTGTAAATAAAAAAACAGAGTGATAAAAATTGCTTTTTTGTAGATCAGTATATTTTTTTGTTTGTTTGAACATGTAGTGCTACTTTCACTGGTTAGGAACAACCTTCTCATTCTACTCATCCCAAGCGATATAAGATTGCTTGTTGTCAAATGACAGGCTTTGGTCTCTGTTGGATCAGCTAGTGACCTAAGTTTATTATGTTTTTTGTTGGTTAATGTCAGCCATTAGTGAAGGATTGATTTACCATCTAAAAAGTCTTATCATCGAAACCTCGTGAGGACTGAAGGTTTTTTGATTTCAAGCGTTCGAATAACTGACATTAGGTTATGATTTGGTTCCCAGTCCATAGAAGTTTGCTCCGATGTGCAGCAGTTCAAGTCGCCACACTCTACGTAGCACACAGAGCAAGAGTAGAAAGTAGAAGAAATGCATAAAAAGGTGTGAGGCAAAGGAATAGTAATAACGAAGAACAATATAGTTTGATTGGGAATCATAAGTCACAAGCAGTGGATACATTTGCATCAGCCGTCAATGAGAACGATTTCGAGTCATATCACCAATAGTTTCCAGCCACTGGTTTTTACCGTCCCGAGGACCCCAACCAGATGGGAAGTCTACACCTTCCCACGTGGCTGACTAGCTTAAACTAACTGGTGTAGATTTCACTGACTGATGAAGTCATGTTTTGGTTTGACCGCCACTACCTCTTTTCCAGCCTGCCCATCGAGGAAGGCAATGACTAGGCATGCGTAACACATGTCCTAACCATCTCAGTTGATGTAACTTCACAGCTTCGTCTATTGATTTTCCCTCCTCACTTAGCACTTGACGCCTAACCTCAATATTGCTTACCTTATTATACCACTTCACACGGGAGATGGAACGCAGGCACCTATAATCAAAGACAGCTAGCCAACATTTTCATGTCTTCCACTCTCAATGGCCAGGTCTCACAGCCATAAAGGAGGACGGAGCGGAGCAGTACACATGCTCTTTGGTCGATAGCTTGATATCACGTGTACGCGAGAGACGGCGTAAACTGGCATATGCGGAACTAGCCCTCTGTATCCGTACTGAGATTTCGTCAGCTATCAACCCGTTGGCACTGGCTGATGCAACTTACCAAATAAGTGAAGCGGTCAACGTGCTCTACCATCTCACTCCCTATTTCTAAGCCAGGAGTCAGTGTAGTCCAGTCCTGTAACATCATCTTGCATTTGGTGGGAACGAAACGCATGCTAAACATTTGTAGATTGCAACTCTAGATATTCAGAAGACTGCATTTTGTCAGCGTCTTCGCCTAGAAAACTACCTCTTTCTGAAACACGTGTGTAGACGCATATGGTTACTTCTGAAAGGACCTTTGTGCAAAGTTCCGCTTTGAGAACTCTTTCTGACCTGGGATCCAATCGAATGAGTGTTATGAGGTCCAAGATTCTATAAAATTCGCTAGCGCTTATTCATGGTGAAACTGCAGCTTAGCTATTTCAGATATATCATCTTTTAGTCAAGGCGTGTAGTCAGTTCATTTTTGAATTTAGGTCGTCAATAGGATTCTTCAATTTTGACACATAAGTAAATATTAACTTGGGAATGTTTTAATAGTTCACTTTTAAAGCTGAATGATTATTTCACTACTTTGCTACAATATGAATTTGGGCTCTAAGTCGTCAAACCATTTCCATAGTATAAGATGATAGTCACTGAATTACTTGATGGACTGCTCATACACAGCAGGGAGTAGGAATGTGTCGATAAAATAGTATTACTCAAGTTGACACAACTCACCAATTTATTATAAAGCACTCATCAAGAGGCTTCATTTGATTAGCTTGTAAAGTATCAACTTCTATGCAGACCCTAAAGTTATTTGTTCTCTGGCACTTATCAGGGGAATTATTTACTGCTTTGCTTAATAAGATTAATTTAAGTCGACTAGCTAATATCTCATTTCTGACCATATATATATGTACAAGGCTTAGTGAAGAAATCGCTATTTAATGCCTCTTATAAAGCAATAGCGTGCTTTATTCAGCCGGCCACGTGTAAGAAAGGTAATTAGCTGCCATTACGCTTAGGACGTATTAATTGTTTAAGGCTTTAAGAAATGAACAAATTTTGACGTTTACACAAAGTACTATGTATACAAACGCTAGTTCTTATCCTTCAACTTCTGTAGTATATATTCTGCTTAGACTAAAGGCAAATCAAATTGATCGTCTAAAGTATGAGATAAATTTTGGAGTCAGAATCGTTGTGCAACGATGATTGCTTAGCTAACTAGGGGTCCTGCACGAACAGGTGAACATAATACAACAGTATGCCGAATGTCTTGGATGCTTAACTGCGGACCCTTAGCTTAACGAGTCGACTTAGCCAGTGTAGGTCATCATCCAATTTTGATAGTGGAGTGCTATAGGGAATTATTTATCGCTACAGGGTAAAACGATTTCTGAAGTTACACCAACCATCTGGATTAAACATGCTCAGTTACCATTTGCTTAGAACCAATGAAATCATTAGTGTAGAGAAGTAACAAGAAGATGAGAAGTCAGTCTATAGGATTGTCTTGACTACTGGTGTTATTGCTTCTAGGTTAGGGCAACATCTTTTCTCTTATGTTTACTACACAGTTTTTTCCTTATAAGTATTTTTTGGCTTAGCTTTGATTTCATTAATTCAGACACTATGACTAAATAAACCTCAGTGTATTTTAAGAAAGGAACAGTGAGGTTATTTCACATCCACCTCCTCATATTAGTATTGTTCTTTGTATGTCATGTGTAACTGTTGGGATTCATAGTAAAGTTATGATTAGTGAGTCAAATGCTAAGAAAATTAACTAACTTCAGTAAAATGAGAAGATCAACAGAAACAGGAAAGTAATATGGACACTACAGTAACTAGGATGTCTGCTACCATCCTAAATGAAGTCTGTTTCAGTCTCGCGAACACAACTGACTTTCAGCGTTTACAGGAATTGGTTATTGTTATGTTTTGGTTGTTGAGACCAACCTTACACAAATTAGTACTCGCTTCGGTGGTACATATACTAAAATTGGAACGATACGGAGAAGATTAGCATGGCCCCTGCGCAAGGATGACACGCAAAATCGTGAAGCGTTCCATATTTTTCCCGGCCGATAACTGCTACCTTGTCGTGGTGGTCGGGCTTGAATACTGTAATGACCCAACATGCCAAACTAACTGGGACTCTGTCCCTGCAGGTCCTACCATGTCAGGAAGGTTGTTTGGATAGCGGTTAAACTAGAAGCAGTTACCATGGGGTACATGGGCTCCAGTATCCAATTGGATCAAATGGCGTATGAACCCATATGGGTCACCGTCAACCATGCGAATGCAGCTCCTGACGCTGCTCCGCTGCCTTACAGATTAGACTCCAAGTCAAAGGCTCGGGAGGTGGTCCCTTAATGAAGCCACCTGCTTCGGTCTGGGCGCCCGGGCAGTATCTCAGCCCTCACACAATGAATTTAATGAAGCAACAAACAATCAAGGAAACTTATCACGTGCTATTACACGTGTTGCAGTTTCCTTCTTTCTTCCCTTCCCGATGATGGTTGACGAATACTGTTTGAACTTGTTAAGCATTACTGTTTTCCTTCCAGATGAAGTTCTTTATCCGTTCTCTAATTATACATATTTTTTCTCTTTCTTTTTTTCTTTTGATCTATGTTGTTTTGTTATTATTGTGTGGCGCATCCTTCTTGGTACCATATTGTACCGAGTTTTATACGTTTAAATAAATAAAAATAAATTACACAAACTATCACCGTGTTATGCTAAACTGTGACTTGATATAATCGCTACACTTCCGTGTTTATAACTCTACATTTACTCTAATCATACTTGCTGGTTTGTTTTCAGGTGTTGATTTTCAGGGATCACGAACTCACTTCAGTTAGAGAATCACTAATGGTCAGGGAGTACTGGATGGTTGTTTCGTGCTAGTTTTTCACCCTTCATCAGTACTCATTCTTTTCAGAATCAAGCACTACACGGTGTTTTAACGAATGCTAGAATATGCCACCCTCAAATCAAGCTAGATGATCTGAATAGATCACTGATAAGTGTGAACTTGCGCTAAGATCTGAAAATTTGCTACTGTATTAATATTTTTATTATTCATTCCTTACGTTTCTATTGGAACGTAGGGCTTTAGTAGCACGATTCCATTCCATTTGGTTCTCTGCTCTCACTTTCATCTGGCTCCAAGCTTTCATTTCCTCCTGGCGTGATGTCCTTCATGTTACGCTGGGACACCAAAGTCGTCGCTTCACACTGAGATTTGATTCATGGACTTGCTGTGTAGTGTCACTCAGTGTAGTCCTCGGCGTATGTCCAGTCCATCTCCATTTCTCTCTGCATATTTGTTGAGAAACAGGTCGTTGGCTGGTTAGGTGTCAACTGGAGTTCCTTGTTTCTTACCGTTTCCGACTGGTCATTTGTTCTTTTTATCGAGCCAGCGAAATCAGCTGTTGATGAAAGTTTGTAGGAGACTGTTGGAAATGCTTTCGGTGACAGCTGTCACAGACTGTTTGAACTATAGTAAGGCAATTTATGATTTGACATTAGTTTTGAAAATTCTGACCTTGTTCTTTATGATGGTTACAGTAGGTTTCCACGCTGATTTTATAGTGATGAGGGTCTGTTTTGCTTTCCCAATAGTGATTTTGACATGCTTATCTGTGCAGCTTCATTGACCTTTCCTTTGTGAATCACTTGGCACTATCATATAGCTATCGAATGAGGTTTATAAGTGTTTAAGACACTCTACAGTGTTGGAACAGCTCCCAAATTACTTCACAGTCGATGCTGTCAAAAATCTTTTCAAAGTCGATGAATTTGAGGTACGCAGTTGACCGCTATTCGAAGTTGATGCCTAATGTTGCAATCTGACCAGTATATGACTCATTTTCTCTTAATCTAGCCTGTCACAAGTGAACTGATCATCTTGGCTATAAACATTCTTAAGAACATCTCAATAATTTCTTGTATGATTATAGCTGTCACTGTTCACCACGCAT